TGGATTACATGACTTTTACAGACAACTTTGTCCTAACCTCCTGACATTTTTTCTTGGAGTTCAGGGACTAGTTCTAGAACAGGGGGGTAGTTCCTTCAAACCACCTACCCCAATATGATTAATGGCCGACCTGCTGCACCACCTGTGCTCCATGTTAATGTGTACAGGACTGGATTAGTTGAGGAGAGTGCACATCGGTATGCTGTTTATCAGTCGTGTCCAAGGAGAGCGAGCGCTCGGCACAAAGCAACAAACCCATTTAAATTCAGCCCGTGCTCAACTCAAACGCACTTCATTGACTTGACAGTTACGAAGAACAGCGTTGCCAGAGCAATTATGTTGGCTATAACACAATTATATTCATTATGCATGTACGACTTCCAGAATCTGAACTTTAACCAGGCCCAACAGAAGGGGGTGGTGCGGGGGCTTTTGATAGGGTCAGAGTAAATTTGCTGAACAAATGACAGAGGGACCGTGCACTCGGGTGCTGATGGGGCCGCCTCCTGCACAAATAACGCTGCGTAATTAGTGCTGCACTTGTGACCCTGGTGCCAAGGTTAGCGCGACGGTCGGCCCAGGTTCACAGTGCGATGTGTCGGCCAGGTGGCACCAACTAGACGTGGGGGGCTGCGGGGAGGTTAGGCTGAGGCTTGTGCACTTTTTGGGGGGAGGCTGCGCAGGAGGGCTGGGCAAACATTGGTGCTGTTTGTTCTGCTGATTGGGCCACGACAGACAGGGTGAAGCTCAGCGGATGTCAACACGGGGGCGGCATTTACAGTCCACTGTCACTGCCTCAGTGTCACCTGTGTCACCAACGACACCTTGGGCTCTGCTGCAGTCTGAACTGTTTATCCTGAAGCTACAGGACAGTCAATCTGCTCTGTGTGGCCTCAACTCATAAAATAATTCATTTCTCCACGCAGTCTTTTCACTTTCACCTGCATCGTAAAGCGACCCACACTGCTGCAAATCTGACACTGTTTATTTCTCTCTACACAGCGCCTTAGCTCCGGCAAGCGTGAGGGTTGCAGTTCTAAGTGGAGGAGGAAATTATTGAATGTTTTGGTGCTCATCTGAGGAGGCTTCAAATGCGTGGCCCCCCACAGTGCAGGCCCCTGGGACACATTGTGAAGACGACACCACATTTTTCTTTCACAACCTCAGATCTGAGTTATTAGCTCAGAGACTGGACGCATGCTGCTGATGTGAAGAGGAGCTGTAATGAGAAAAGCAGGTGAGCTATTTAACTGGCGTTTCACAGCTATTAAAGCGCCAACACACTGGGTCACCATGGTGATAAGAGTCCAAGGCGTCTGGGGAGTCAGCATTTTTTATCTGTGACTGTTTGTTGTTTGTTTCTGGTGCTCTGGGATGCTCCATGTTGGTTAATGAGATAAGTAAAGGTCACAGTAGCAACAGTTCTGTAAATGCAATTAAGTTAGAAAGTTAATAGTACGAGTTACTTTGGAACAAGACAAATAACAAGTTACTAATGCAGTGGATGGTAATGAATACACGTATCACTCTTTTAATTCTTTGTGTACATTCAACAGTTAAACATTTGTAAGACAAATGTACACATGCGTAGTTTGTCTTGTTGAACATTTGTCTAAAACTCTTCATTACCTACATGTTGTGTTATACATGTTTATCAAAGCCTATATATAACAAATGATGACATCTATTTATATATAAGTGTGTGTGTGTGTGTGTTTGAATAATAATTATGGATTAAGGATAACTGAACAAAGCCACTAAGAACAGTTCAGAAAATGTAATTTGGCACCAATACTTGAGATGATCTTATTTACTTACTCATCTTGTTTCACAGATTATTGTGATCACACATCATCAGTGTTGTAATAGCTTTGATATCAACAGTGCCAGTGTTGGCCATTTGAGAACAGAGAATGAATTACCTCATAACTTGATTTGAGGTTGAAGGTTTCATCTAGCACACATTGGATGACAGAGGCACTTGAATGCAGCGCAGGAATGTTTACAAAATGAGTGGACACCGAAGTGTAGCTCATGGATTAATTGATATCTATAAGACGCACTGTATTTTTGTCTTAATATCAATGTGGCTGAAAACGAGCAAACTTAAAGAACCCTTTTTTGTTCATTCACTGTATTTAAACATTCAGACACAGGTTTATGTGACTGTGGATTTACTATCTAACAGATGGCACGTTCAAAATGCGTCGAGCTCTTTTGATTTGTAGGAAGTGTGACCCTCAGCGAGGGCTGTTTCAGATTTTCTTCTGCTCAGACCCCTACATTGTTCCAACAGGATGTGATACACTAATTATATTTACAAGTGCAGGGCCCAGACTCCAGAGTTACACTAACATGATAAACACACCTGCTGACTGATGAACAGAACAGCCTCACACTGTTTGTCAGTGTACGTCTGCCGGATGTTAAATCAATAAACTACCTCAGTGCAAGAAAGAAAGAAAACCTGATGTAGTCCACAGACTGGAGGAGTCTTACTCATTCTGGACCCCAACATTTTCCACTTCTCATCTGAAAGAGATTTCGGTGGTTTTGATGGGTCAAGATCATAAATCAATGGGCTTTAGTGTGACATGTTTTTCTCTTTGTACGTTGGTCTATTTGTCACTGTAAAAATGAACACTTCAACAATCCGTTTTATAGGAACTACCCAAAATGGCAGAAACCATCTATGAAAAAAATTACTTTAACATGATGTTTTTGTTTGGTCCATGTGGCATTTGTTAACATGGAGGAGGCAGGATTCATGACTAATACTGCAGCCAGCCACCAGGTGGTAATTGAGACACTTTGGCTTCACTTTTGGGAGCCATCTTGTTGCCCATCTTTATATAGCTTTGTGCTAAATGGAGAAAGGGTGTAAATTACATACTTGCTAACTTTTACATATTAACATTGGGCATTTTATACTTATGTTCATTAATGTGCTCTGTTCATGTCAAATAAACAAATAAAATGTATATACATATATATTTATACATAAATACATAATTACATAGTTCAAAAAATGTCATAGCTCATGGCCCACTTATTATAGTTTTAAAATGTCATACCTCACAGAATTTATTTTAATATACATTTCATATTTTAACCTAAAAGGGAAAGCTGTGATATATTTATTCTCTGTAGGCTATGTATTTACTTTATTCTTTCCAATATAAAGAAGATTACGTTATATGATTGTAATACATTAAAAATTAAAGGATTTCATTTAAGTAAATATTTCTTTGATCAGTTTCCTGTCACGCTTGTAAATATAATTTTCCTTATCATTTTTTCTCCATGGTTTATATATTACTGTATATCACTCTAAAGTATTGCTCCTCACTTATTGACAGCAAGTTTTAGAGTTAGATGCTTTCCAACTTAAACTATCAAAATAGTCCAACAACAAAAAAGTGTCACTTTAATGTTTATTTTATTTCTAGTTGTATCTGAGTGTCAAACTGTAGGATACTGTACTGCTACAGCACTAATTCAGTTATCTGTGACATCTTTAAAGAACTTAACACATATCAGGCCTGGTCACAACAGTTCTGATTAATTGTATTGTAAGTCTCTGAAACTATCAATTGCAACACAAAGCATCACATTGTATCATGAAGAAATCCTTAAATAAACCAATACCACCAGGGGGACGCAAGGGTCAGTGAGCATCAGAGTACCACACAGGTCCTCTGACATCAGGTGATCACTATTGATCAGGCTAATCGTTTGGACACAACTTTTAGCCAATGTTGAATTCTAAAATTAAATTTCTATCTTGTTATTTTATCTATTCTTTTCTCCAATGATGTTTTTTGGCACAGCCACATGAACCTTTTCTGAAGTAATCCAGAGTCGCTGTTGAGCATTTACATCAGACAGGTGTACAATATGTTGAGGGAGCAACATCAGCAAGAACTTTTTTTAACAGTTTAAAAGTTCTTGCTTCACATACACACTCATCAGAACCAAATAGAAGTAATTGGTTGATGTGTTTCTAAAAGGACACGTTTTCTCTGTGTGTCTAATTTAATTTCAGTCTTTGAGGTTTATTTCATCCAATCTTAGAAGGAAAATGACACGTGGCTGCAATAGAAAATATGAAGTCTCATTACTTGGGTCTCTGGAAAAACTGGGGACTAATTTTGAATGTAGTGTGACCAAAAATCCCAAACCAGAATTCATCAGCTATACATCACACATAAGTGGAGATGTCATGACTGAGATGTTTCCTAAGGGCTCTATTAATGGCACTAAAAGTATGTGTGCTGAAGGAGAATGGGTACGCTGTTGACTCCCTTCGCCTGTTTTACACATCAAGCAGTGCACCTGGAGCAGCACTGTGCACCGCTGACACGTCAGCTCGGGCGACGACAAACTGCACAGTAGGGAAATAAAATCGTGTGTGTAGGCAAGTTGTGTTGCCATCCTCACATGCTGTGTTGTAGCTGAAACGACTCTGAGAATCATTTCAAGTGCCAGTGTCACGCTGGCATGTCTCTGTATTTTTTAGTCTTACTCAGAGCACTTTACAGTTCAGTTGTACCATTCACACACATTCATACAGTGCGTCTATGTGCAGCACTTTCTGTATCACACATCACTTACACACTGAGGGGTGGACAGTGATGCTGCTTAAAAAAACAGCTCTAGTCTTCTATTTGGCTTTAAACGGATCATGTACCCACTGATACATCTGATTGACATGTTGCATTTACACCATATTATAACCTAATTATTATAGGGATGTTAAATAAACTGCCATGAAACACATTCTGTACAATGTAGTCCTACATGATGAATCTATGATTTCCTGTGAGGTTGTCGTGTGAGTATAATGGCTTTTACATATATTGCATTGTCATAGAATTAGATACAGATATTATCATGTAATTGTAACAACTTATAATAATGAATAGTAGTTTCATCTCAAGCTCAAAATGTACCATTCATAAATAATAATTAGAATTATATATCACACTGACAAGAGCCACTTTTCTGGATAACAAGCCATTTTACTGTTTACACTTTCAACACATTACACTGCTGATGAAACACTGATTGCAGAACATAATGGCACATATGTCCAGAATTTGTCTTCATGGCCTGTTATCTGTTGGGTCATACATACATTTCCATAATGTCATAATGACACTAGGTGTAGATGTGATTTTGGGGGTGCAGACACATAGGAACAGGGATACATTCAATCATTTCTGTGCTATGAATATAAATATATATTCAAATCTCCCACAGGAAAATACATCAGGCAAAGTGTGTAAGTCAATGATTTGTATGTAGGTGCTTGAGTTTTCCCATTAAAGACATTAACAGGTAATGACCACAGATAAAACCACTGTGGGAGAGATGCAGGTTGCTTTCCATGCTCTTGACTTATGATTAGAAATACACAAAATACCTCCACTGTGGTGATGTGAAATTTTCAAGATGATCCATTTAAAGAAAATGACATTGTCATGTAGCACAGAGGAGCCTTGAATATACAGTAAATCACAACAAATGTTTCCCATTTCAATTACAGAACAATAAATTATCCAGTTTGTTTTAAGATGCACTAAAAAGCAGCAGAGGTATAATTTATCAAACTATAAATAATAAATAAATTAAATTAAATAAGTAAATAAATACATAAATAAATAAATAAAGCAGAGACAGTACACAATTAAACTTACTGCCATCGCTGGAAACAGCACCTGACAGGCAAAGACATATTGCACCAATCGGCTTCTCACGCCCGTCGTCTCATTTACATGGGAAAGGCTCTTTTTAACACATCGACTCCACAAAACACTTCAGGGCCGCATGCAGAAGTATGAGCCCTATTAGGACGTCCATTCAGTCTCATGCCAGTGTGCCCCTCTCTCTCTCTCTGTCATAAGTGCCATCCATTTGGGCAAACAATGCTAACCCTCTCCTTCCCTCCCCAGCCCCAGAAACAGTAGCTCTCAATTACTAGTCAACAGTGAATTAGAATATTAAAAGCCGCAGAGGACGAGGGAGGAGATGGAGTTGAGAAAGCCTGAGGTGTGTGACCCGGTGAGAAGTCTGCAGATGTCGCCCGATGGGCTCTGTCGTGCCGTGCCGCCTGTCTTTGACATGTAGAGGGAAGAACAGATCTGAACCACCTCCACGCCGACATCTCAACACTCGGGGCGCCCCATGTTGTTCACTTAATCCCACTTTATCCAAGAGAGGCGGGCTGTCAGGTCTGGGAAGGGGAACATTGCAGAGAGTAGTTCAGAGGGAAACAAAAGCAGGACAAACACATCGGTTTAGATACATTTTAATGACTGTTTAACAAGTCCAAGGTCTGGGCCTGAAGAATGGGAGAATACTTTTCAATGAAAAGCCCGTTAGAGATGCTTCAGAGCAGATTCCCACAGAATTTGACTAATAAAATCTGGGTGTGTTTGTTAATACAAATGAGGCTAATTCAAGGGAAAATACCTGGAGCACACACCATGGAGATAAAAGTCTGCTTTATTCAATCTTACTGAAAAGTGATTCAATTTCAAATAACCACTAATAGGCAGTTTTTTTCTCTCCACTTGCCAAATTGCTTGTTGTGGGAACTGTTTCTCTGACATATTGTAAGGTTTTGACCCTACTATGTAAATTGCCTTAAGATAGTGTATGTTGTGAAATAGTGCTATAAGATTGTGGAGAGCTTCAGATTCAGACTTTTTATTCATCCCACAGAGGGAAAAATTCCTTATTGCAGTTGCATAAGTACACATATGTGTGTGCATTCGTGATATCAGAGGCTAAAGGGCTAAAACAAGGTGTAAATGATGCTGTTTTGAGTCAAATTTGAATATCAGGGCTTATGGACACGTGGAATACACCACAGGAGCAGGATGGAGGCATTTTATCTTTTTTTCTTTTGTTTTCTTAAGTTTGAAGAATGAGTCTCCAGTTACTTCAATTGTATTGGATTTGGCTGCAATGCTGTTTACCCCTGAAACTCAAAAAGTGTTTTGTGGAATTGAACACTTCACCCACCCCTCAAAGTGGTGAGTATAGATAATGAATGCATTTTCATTTTCAGTGAACTAAATCCCTTTAACTTAATCATGTTGATAATGCAACTCATATGACCATTCTTTCATTTAGAGCTGAATTCAGAAGTGTGTTAAAAGAGGAATAAATGAAAAATCCTGAAACTTACAGTTTCTTAAATTAATTACAGCTGTTGAATACTTTTTCCAATATTCTAAATGATAAATATTTTGATGATAATGATAAATACAGTAATTTCAAGCATTTTACAAAACCATGCATGAGTTTTTAAAACTCATAAAACTTCACAATTATGTATAATGATAATTCATCATTTATGAGGTTATAATTACTGCATTTAAATCAACTGGTGTTGGGCCTGATGAGACGACCTGTCATTATTCTGATCTAATTAACATTAACATTAGTAACTAATAATCTCTCTACGTTGGATAATGAGAGTGATCAGCTCACCACTCGTGTTCCAGATGGCGTTAGTTTGGTTCTTGTAGCCGTTCTTCATGCACTCGTCCACGTAGGACTTGGGGTCGCAGCCTGACATGAGGATCTCTCTCAGCAGGGCGATGTAGGCGATGGCCAGTCTCAGCGTGTCTATCTTCGACAGACGCTTCTCGTAGGGAAACGTCGGGACATGGCAGCGCAGCTCCTCGAAGGCTGAATTGATGCTCAGCATCCTCTTCCTCTCCCGGATGTTGGCGGCGTGCCGCTGCACCTTATAGGGCGGATGGGCCAGTAGGCGACGCGACCTGCGCGTGCCCATCTCCAGGGGCTCTTCGGCGCAGGAGCTCTCCCCCTCGGCGCAGACGCCCGCCCCCGGGGATTGCACGTCGAGGTCGGTGAAGGTCAGTTGTGAGTCCGGGAACATGGACTGACAGCCGAAAGAGGACCAGGGGGACAACTGGCCTGTGGCCGCCGTGCAGTCAAGCAGGAAGGTGTCCAGCTGGGTCTGGAACTGGAAGTTTTGGTCCATCTGTCCCCAAAACGCAAAATCAGTGGTTCCATCGTGGTCCAAGTCAAAGAGTATCTCCTCCATATTAGAAATAAAATCAAATTAAAGGGAAAATGAAATCAAATTTAAGGGCTGATGGTCAGTGGAGTCAGACAGCAGAGCGCACGGGTATTATGAACTGACCTGCATGCGTCTGTCCTGCTGTGTGACCGCCTCGCAGACACATCTCCTGGATTAAATACTTCCAGGGCCTCTATGTTTCTCTGCGGGTCGCTCCGGCCAATTCTAAAGGCTGAATGGGAGCTCTTAAGAACACTTTACCCCTCCTCGTGGATCGTTCTTTGCTTTAAAAACGCATTACAAAGGAATCAGTTGATCTCCAAACGACAAAAGGCGGGGGGGGGGGGAACACGTGTCCAATTATAAACTTCTCCAAGTAGTCCCGCTAATATTGACAAAAAACACTCAGTATTTAGCGGTCATTGGAGGGCTTGTGCGGAGCATTGTGGCGCAGCGGGCCGCGCAAACCCGACGGCCCCTCTGAATGGGACTGTTTTCTCTATTAAAGCTCAGCTGACAACAAACACTGCTGCCAGAAACACATGAGCGCGCATTGTCTCTTCAAAACGTAACGAGATGTTAATAGAAAATCAGCATTTTTAATTGCTTTTTGGGTTCATTCTGGTGGAGACATATTTTTACGCACTGAACTTTAGTTACCAAACAAACCTACACGATGGAAAGATATTCCAGCAGTGATCACCACAGCTCGTCCCACATACTTTGGGTCAAGTGGCCACATTAATACGCTCCTAATTTGCAAATGATATGACGGACTAAATGGCGAACTGTGGCGAGGACGCACGCTGTAATTACGCACGGGGGGGAGTCCTTTCTTCCAGGGTTGGATAGAGGACATCCCGGGGATGGACTTTAATTCAAGAAGGCTGTATATGTTTGCGAACACGTGGTTCTGATTTGACGAAGTCCTCCAGGATGCTAATTTTAAGGGAATCTGTTTGTTGCAGTAAACACAGGCGGCGTGTGTATCCGAGTGTTTATCGGGAGGCAGCAGCTGATTTAACCCGAATCATCCAGAAGAGCAACAATGAGACAGGTGAAGCTCGACACTGACAAACACCAAACATGACTGAGCCGCACAGGTGCTGGAGAGAGTGGATTGAATTCATTCTAAAGAGATTTAGCTCCATGCTGCTGCCAAATATAGATTTAAAAAAAGTCAGAATTCTAAATATGTTAAATCAATCTATATATGAAAAATCAATCCAGTATGAATGAGATTTGTGACGCACACACCAGTTGTTCGCTTAAACACTGAAGGAACAGAAAGGCCACAGTCTGTACTGTCTTCATTCTTCATCCGTCAGTCTGATGATTTGACTGTTATGTTTGTTTCAGTTAAATCAAAAAAGTTGCTGGACTCAGTTGGATTAATAAGATTGTATTTTATTATTATTATTATTTTTATTATTATTATTATTATAGCAAAATTCAGTGAAGCTGTGAGACTGACGCACATTTAAAATGGCAACATCCTGACCAACTGAGGCGTCGTTATAGAGCTCAGCATCCTCAGTGGAACCAAGTAAATTACGCACATGTGCATGAGGGGTTTCAAATGGCTCGTTTTGAAATAAAGCGTCCTCACGTTCACTTCATTTAAAAGGTGTCAGAGTTTTAATGGTCTAATGAGAGGAGTCTATATAATCAATTGAACACGCGTACGTAATGACGCAGCGCGCTCCGTGGCACGGGGTTGTTTTCAAAGAACACTGGTTGAATGAGACCAGATAAACCAGATCAGATATTCTGCTCCACAAATATTTAAGCATGTGTGAAATAAAGAAGCTTCCAGCCATATTCTCAATCCTGCAAAATAAAACTAAAAATTATTATAAACAAATTAACACATTACATAAAAGGATTAAGAATCAGGAGCATATTTATCTACGAAAATTAGTGCATTTCGTTGAGGAAGATATAACAACCGTTTCATACGTGCCTGATTACAGACCGTCTGCACCATGGGCTCCATGAACTGGATCAATGAAATAAACAGCCTCCTGAAGCACGTTTAGTTGGACCTATACAAGCCCGTTTGTGGGACAGATGAGTGATGATAATGCACATTCAGTGGCCTGATAACAGTCAAATCGGCTGAATTAATTCAGGTCGGCTTAGTCTGCAACCGCAGTGCGTTTGCGTCTTTGTTGTGAAGTGTGTGTGCATGTGTGTGCCTGTGCGCGTGCGTGTGACTGTCAGGACCTTCTGCCAGCCTGCCAGCAGCATCCCGCTCCCAGCTGACGGTCTCTGTTCTGGGTTGTTCCGGGCTGAAGAGATGCGCCTGTCAGATCCAGATCCACCTTATTGTCTTTACAGCCATTCAAGAGAGCTGGAGGGGTTGACAAGAATGAAGAAGAGAAAAAAGCACGATAAACTCATTATAACAACACTGAGCTGAACACTGAAACAGACGTGGAGTTTGGCGCTTTATATCTCCTGATTGAGAGATTAAATAAAAAAAACAATTCGCAATATAAAGCCATCATTCGGTGTGTGTGTCATAATTCACTCACATGCAGGCTGCACCGCTCCTCCGTGTCCTTGGAGTAAGATCCCGTCCCGGGCTCTCAGCCCAGAGGACCGGACAGCCTGGAAAAGTCAAGTGCGCCTTGGACGCAGCGCAAGGCCACATGCTCACAATTAGGCCTTAGGTTGTGAATCTGTTCCCCACCCGGGACTCACCGTGTGCAAAACAAGGAATGAATGAAAGTGAAAATCAAACACATCACATCCACACTCTTTATATACAGTCCATGATTCACACTCTTCATATACAGTCCATGATCCACACTCTTTATATACAGTCCATGAGCCACACTCTTTATATACAGTCCATGATCCACACTCTTCATAT